TTATTACTGATTTCCGACAAGATAAGATTACTATGTTGGTAAATGCAGATAAACACGTAGTATTGTACGTTTTATTAATTCAAAATTAACTTTCTTCCTCTAAAACTTCCCAAAAGCCATAATCACTATTATTTATACTGCTAAAATTATTAAATTTCAAGCATGTTCGTACCGAAATTGTTTGTTGACAAGATATAGTTCGAAGTAGAGGCTAGTGTTCAAGTAATAATGCACTTTGTAAAGTACTCTATAAAGTTTACATTAGTGTGAGCTGTCTTAAGATAATAGACCCGCCGGCATGAACCTCTAGATATGTTAAGTATCTCATCCCTGTGTGCTCTGCACTCCGCAGCTCCATACCACATCTATAACTTATCGAGTCCATAAATCTAATGCAAACCACTCTAAGACTGCGCTCTTACTCTAAAACTTAGATACTACTTCGTTGATTCCGGTTTTATTTAATAAAAACTGATTTATTAGTCCTTCAGAGTGAAAATTACAGTTGAGAAAGTAATCGTCATGTAACATAGTTTAAACACAGATCTCTAAAAAAAGATAGGTCTAAATTAAACGTGTGTATCACTATCTCTATTATTAGTTTCAATCCACCACATCTATCAGCCCCAAAATTGCGAAAATCAGATAGGCACAATAACGCTTATAGGCCACGTTAGGACATAAAATGTAAGTCATGAGACAATTTAATTCATCGTCAACATACCCACAGTATGTGCTGTTGTTCCATAGGGTTCTATTAGGCGTCATATCTGAATTCACGGAACCCATCACTTCATTCAACCATACTTTCTTCCTTCCTCTACCTTTGTTACCATCCATATTCAATTTTGTAAAAATGTTGTATAGAAGTATTCTGGTAATGTAAATGTGTAAAAGGTTCAAGGGTTCTAGATGATTATTATTATGATCACAGAAAATCTTTGTAGTTATAACTCGCTACCCGTTTAATTTGTGATTTCTCAAACGTAGGACCACCACACAGGGTTTTTTTTGTTTTATAAAGGATCTTTAGTCTTGCTACATATAATATAGAATGTTACAATAAATAATGAGTTCATCATTGTTAATTTGAATTCGATTCATAATTTAAAAAATTTTGATTAAACATGTTTGGTTGGTTTAATTTGATATTGTAAGCTTGTATGGAGAGCAATAGGACTTCAAGAAGAGAGTGAAAGCAAATTTTTCAATTAATTACTTTTAAACAAGCGTCCTTCATTTCAAACAATCAAAAGTCCATCAAATTTCCTATTGCATCAAATTTACCCACTGTCTGTCTGTGCGCTCAGTCTCGATTGTTGCAACTTAGATGATCTTTGGACCTCTGCACGTAATTGACCTAAGTAAGCGCCGCCGGAACTCGTTAAAATCAATTTAATGGGCTAAATGTTTGACTTGCAGCAAGGCTGTACGTCCCGTGGACAGCTTTTTAAAAATAGAAAGAAAATTTTTTAAAGTTTTATTTCTGAAACATTTTACAAACCTCAGCGTTAGTATACTTCATTTAAACATCCCTAACACAGGTATTCACTTCAAGAGATGAATTTGAACGAACGAATGAACACGTGATGTTACTAACCTACTTTTTCGAAAGTAATGAATGTATAATTTTTGATGCGACGTGCAATGTGCCGGCGTAGCTGCGGGAACACAAACAGTGGCAACTCCCCGCCTGCCTCCTGCC